AATCAATGTATGGATGCTATTCCTTCTAATAGACCAACAGCATCTGATATCTGTAATAAATTGACAGTATGGAATACGATATTAAATAATAATAGCACGGAAGATAAAAATGAATCGACAATATTAAAAGCATTCCAGTCTGCAGATATGATTATTCCAACATTATCAACCGAATTGCCAATTTGCCCTAAAGATAAACTAACAAGTAAACTACTTAACTTTAAAAACCTTTCGGAGCCAATTAATTCTCAATCTTCAAAGTTGCCAAAAATTTATGGTGGATAATTACACTTATCCGGCAAACTCATATGATCATGGCGCAGCATCGCCTTGATATTTTTTAACTGATTTTGACATAATGCCAAATATTCAAATTTGGCACAAATATTGTAAACAATCAATCAAATTTAATAATATTGACAATTTCAATAGTACATTAAGATATGTAAAATTTGCATATTTTTATTTTATTTTTTTTGCACAATACTAATTACATATTTATTATATTTATTTTTCAATTCTAGGCGGCTAAAAATGAAAAACACAATTATTAAAAGTATTCCCAGTGAGGAATTTTTCAATAAATTCGTTTCGACTTCCTTCACTATTTTGCGCATTTTCGTGGAGGCTATTTTGCAATTCAACTTCACCCAACACATTTCGTGTTCGTGGCGGTGGTTCGGTCGTGGTTGCTGATCCTGGTGGTTCATTGACGTCGACGGTTGAAGATACTTCAAGACTATCAATCTCACTTGCAAGTTCGCTTGCAAGTGATATTATTGAACTTGCCCGTTTGAAGTCTCCACTTGGATACTTCGTGTGATCCGGTTGTGTTTTAGGTGCTTCATTTTCTAACAAAAAAAAAAAAAAAAAAAAAAAGTGTAAAATCAAAATTTAAAATACTTAAATTTATATTCAAATAAATATCTTTTAATGACCTTTCGTCATTTACAAATGCTAACGCCCTTAAAAATCCATTGAGGCCTTCTTGCTGCATGATGATCTTTGGTCGTTTGTATGCGGCCAGACCCTTCTGTGACTTATGCCTCATGATTGACATAACCACAGCGTCAGAATAACCAAGTTCCTTTAATACTTGAACCGTGGTTTTCCTTCCTGAATGGTTGGATATACTTCGACCACCAAATTGTATATCCGTGGATTCACAAATGGCCCGAAAGTATGTCCTTAATTTTTTTTCCCCAAATGCACACCCGTAGTACCATTGACCATTGAATTCGACTTGGAAACAAAAATGTTAGTACAAATAAATTAAAAATTTTCGAAATTGAAATATTACTTACCTGTGTTCGCCGGAACTGGACTCAGATAAAAATTTGTCACCTTTGTGACTAGACGCTTAACAAAGTAGAACTCATAATCATCGATTATGCTCTTGATGTTTGGTAGACTAATGACCTCAGCTTGCCCGTCGTAATCCCCGAGCCCTCGTTGATTCGTTTTCGATCGATACAGTTTTACATCAATTCCTCTGTCGAACCTTTTCACAAAGCTACCAATTCGAAGGTCTTGATGTTCACCGCCCCGCAGAGCCAAAAGAATTGAATTATAAAAAAAAATGCACCGCAACAATCCTTTCAGATTATTACTCTACATAGTATGGTGGGAAAGAATTTGCTCAACTTCTTGCAAGGTCAGAGTATCTGACCCAGCACGTTCACCTAGACCCTTCGCTGATAAATTTTTCAACTTGTCATTAACGATGGTATTCAAATCAAACTAGACCTTCGGGTTAAGAATCTCCACGGGCTTCAGCATCACAGAGTGTTGGTTTAGGTGCCGCCAAATTGCAGCCATACAGTTCCGAATTGAAGAGACATGGTATTCATCACCATCTTTTCGTTTCATAGCCACAACGAACTTCGATAGTTGTTCTTCGAGGACCTCTTTCAAATCGATCTCTTTGATTTTACCCAAATAACCTACGTCAGAACGAAACTCTTCAAGGGCTTTAACCCAAACTTTCGTAGCCTTATGCGTCGATTGAACCCTTGAGTTTCCATGAATGGTTTCAAGTTCCTCCAAGGTAGGTTCCGTATACCTAACCTGCTGAAGTTTTATATTAGTTTTTTTTTTTTTCGTACAACAATAAGTTCAACAAGAAAAAAAATACCTTATTATTTCTAGCTGAAGTAGTTTCATTAGAACTATTGGCTTCAATTTCAACATTACCGGTCACAATTGACCCTACATTTCCGTCTAATTTTAGTTCTTCATTACCGACTACGGTTGAAATTGCCTTCCTTTTTGCGTTACCGGACCTAGTTTCTCTGATCACAGTTGGTGCAGTTTCGTTCGTTGCATTTTTGGCCCCAGATGATGAAATGGCGTTCATCTTCACATCACCGGGTTTGTTCTGTTTGCCTTTTGATTTCGGCATTACAAGGTGGGTACGGCTTCCAGAATACGTTTTACAGTGTTGAAGTGCAAAAAAAAATTTTTTTTTTTAAAAAAAATATAACCAGTAAAAAGTATACTGCGCCAGAGAAAGAGAGAAAGAATTTTTTTTTTTTTATTTGATTATCAAATTCTAGATCTAAAATCTATATATAGGGGGGGAGGATCTGGCCATGATCATAAATTGCCGGATAACACCAATACTTATTATATCTGATTTTCAATTAATCGACGAAAGTTTAATGACTTTTAATTTTTTAGATTCTGGATTATGTGGGTTTTCGATTCCTGTAAGTATTTAATAATTTAGCATATGGAATATTTATTATCTATAAATGCTTTCATTTCTATAGCTAATGATGAAATACTATGAATAAATATATTTAGGGATAGATCAATCTGGTTTGGACGTTCAGTTTTTACTAAGATTGGTTTATTGACGTTTTTTTGGTCCGATCTCGGTTTCTAGGCTGTTTCTAATGATTTAAAAGTATAAAATAGTCGATTAAAAGCAATTGTGTACCTTTTTTTAAAACAAATTTACTATTAATAAAAACAATCTGCGCTGACCTCAATGCTGAATTATCATATAACCGATTAAAAAACAGACCCTTTTTAAGTTCTTTCGGGAGGGTCTCTTGTAGTATAGATGACATCATTAGTTAAATATATTATTAATCAATTGATTTAGAATAGGTGTCACCTAAACAGCAAGAGATCCTTCCCAGGATTTATCTATCTTTATTTTATTCAATTGATTTATCATCTAACATATAGCAAAAATCAGGCCTATTTAGTTATCGAAATTGTTTTTATAAAATTAGAACCAGAATTTGTAAATCTTATCTAAATGGTTTAAAAAGTGCTAACATCTTTATTTGTAACATCTTTATATAAATTTTCTTCTATATTAATTTACGTTTGTGTAATTTTTTTATTACTATTCAAATTATATTGTAAGATATTTTTTAGATAATGATTTACGAATTATGTTTATATAAAATTAAAAATCTTTACAGCTTTAATGTATTAAAATTATACGAGCTTATATGCTTTTAAAAAATTTTAAACATCAGAATTAGTTGTGTACTAAAATCTTATTAATCAAAACATTAATTCAATATTATTCACATATTTAAATATTTATTATAACCCGCACCTATGGTGGTTTCGTACCTATTATATGTTTTTATTATATTTCTTAAAGTTTTTATTAGTATACAAAATTTTAACACAAATTTTTTATGTTTTATTACGGAACTCTTTTTGTTTGACTTTGGCATTTTTTTTTCTATGAATTACTAACAGCAACCTTCTTTTCAGGTATTTATATGGGGTGAAAGTGTAAACCCCGGTGAAAGATAAGACTTTTGGATAAAAATGAAACCACTAAAACCAATGTACATACAGCCTAAATCTGGAATTAATGAAAGGTAAAAGAATTAGATTTGAACTTCTGAACCAGACATATGACTTTATTCAATGTATAAAAGGAACCGTAAATAAATGCACAAATTAGTACAAATGCGAGAGAATAAATGCACAAATTAGTGCGAAAATGAAAGAAATTTTTTTTTTTTAAACCGTTTTGAAAAAATTTTTTTGATCGACTATCTAATATATTTATACCCTTAATGATGTATGAGACTGACAATTTCTTTAAGCCATGATCATAGTTGGATCATGCGTTGATAAATAACGTGAAATTTGTCGATGCATGACCAATATCTTATAAATATAAGTTATAAATCTATTAAAGCTTGGTAATTTATTTTCAGAAGATAATTATTTTATTATAGCATATTAATAATCTAAAGACTGTAAGTAGGTTAACGACACGAAGCAATATGATTTTTATAACAAATAAAAAAATTTAATTATAAATTTTTATTATAATTATATAGTCTTTTTTTCTAAAACTTTCTTGCATAGTTGCACAAATTTTTTACAAAATATACATCTAGTACATGCTAATTTTAAATACTGCGAGTAGATTTAGAAATTCAATAGTGCGTAATTTCCATACTTATTAGTATATAAATTTGTGATTTGTTTTTATTTTCGAACAATGATTTTAGTAAATATCGATACGACAAGCAAGGATTATATTTATATTGAATTCTTGGTTAAGCAATACACTTTTAATCGTTCAATCAGATATAATTAGGTCATTTTCATGTGGGCCGTGATTTAAGTGTACATTATTGGACAGACGACAAAAAATAACAGGCAATTTTTTTTGGTCGGAGTTAATGTCACTCCATGTGCTGCGTAGCAGCACATGAGTGAAATTAACTTCATTAAAAAAAAAACTTGCCTGTTATTTGTCGTACGTATGTTCAATAATGATGTTATCCGATAGTTAATATGACCATGTGAAGTTTTTTCTGTGATATTTTGCAAAACTGATTACGTAATTTCATGCAAAAAATATCATGGCAAAAAAATTCACATGATCATATGAAATTTCGGATAACAAACTTTACCCGTCATTTTATAATCCATGAAATTAATGGGTAGTAATTTCAACAATGAGTAAGTTATGGTTTAATGAATTTAATAGTAAGGTTCGCGAGTTTAATATTGGATGAGTTTACAATTTAAGTAGTTGGAGAGTTAATGAATTCAATGACATGAAATAACGGGCGAGCTCATTATATTAACAGAAGACAGGTTCTAATTTAAGCAGGTAGGTAGATGGTTTAACAGTGTTGGGGTTTTTTAGTAATTCAATAGTGAATTGGTTAAACATCTCACCAATGAATCGTTCATGTTTTAGTAAAAAGTTGTTTAATAATTCGTAGATAAGTTTGTAATTTCAACAGTGTTTATATTTATAATTTCAATAAGTTAGTAATTTAAACAATTTGTGGGTTCATGATTTTAACAACAGAAGCTAATAATTTCGACGGTGAATTGAATATTGGTAGATTCAAAATTTTGACTAATTATTGGCATAGTTAAAACGCTTTAATTTTTACACGATATAATGTGAATCCTCAGTATATAGAAGTTATTATTCTGTACTAGATTTTTCCTATGAAATTCTTAATATCAACTTAATCAAAGTATATCTAAGGAAAGTTTAAAGTTTATTGATATTTACTATTGCACAATTTTTAGGTTTAATATTTATTATCATGCGACACATTATATTCTTTTTTGGTTTAGCAGTGGGTATAAAAGTTATTAATTAATAAGCTTATTTAAATATGCCATTACTACTTAGAATTTATTTAGATAGTAAATTGCTGAATAAGTACTGGAGGTGCACTTCGCGCACTCATCACACTAGTATTATCTATATAATAAATAAGGGTAATGCATATTGAAATTTAAAATTTGATTAAGTTAAAAATCTTTAGTTTTGCAATGTCAACGACCCTTGCATATTTGTGCGAAACCTGCCTTTAACGACGGACGGACCCTCACACCCAAAATTTCTAACGTTAAATAGCCATTGGAAATTGTATAAAATTTATGTTTACTGGATTTAGATCTTTAACGTTACGTTATAATATACGTACGTACCATTAGATAAATAATAAGCTTCGGATATTATGATACGTATATTAATAAGTAATACAATAAGACTTCTCTAAGTGCACGCCCTTTGGGCTACAATTTATATTGTGCATTTTGGAAATAGTAATAAAAGTGCAACTATAAGCCAAGTATATATTTAGGCCAGAGTCTGAGTGTGCATTTAGAGAGAGCATGCACTTATAGAGTATGCACTTAGGGAGGTTTGACTGTAGTCAAATCTTGCAATGTTAAAATGGTAGATGATTTTTTGAAAAAACTGACAGTTTGTTTTGCTTTAACGTTACACACGATCCTGTGTCGTGATTGGTTTAAAACCTTGGGGCAGCAGATTTTTTATGCGTGCATACGTACCAGTCACACGATTTGTCACATGCAAAATTTTTACTATGGGGTCAAATGATCGATGCACCTAAATTTTATCCCTTAAACCGTCTAGCGGACAAATTTGTTCGCTAAAATTTTTTTTGGCCTATTTTTCTACAATTGTGCAAAATTTTATTAAGCCACCCCCATAT